AACATTTTTGGGACACCCTGTATACTTATAGATAAATACGGCTTCAGATAAATGCTTTGAAGCAAAGATAAAATTATCTATGTGACGTCACAGTCGGACAAAGTAACGATGGAACTTTGTCATTGAGTCAGTATTATATATATTTTGTTTTATTTTTATTTGTTAACTTTGACTTTTATCATTTTAAATAATGCTTATCATAACGTATTTTGGAAATTGTAATTTTGAAATATTCAATTTGGATTTCCTACTGTGACATCACAAGATAATATTTCTACAGCATTCAAGATTATTTTATTTTGTAACCAATAATTATAAATAAATAACATTACTCTTGACATTTGTGTATTCTTTTTACTATTTTTTAAACTAAAACAAGTTGTAAGGAAATAATATTATATGACTACAGCAAAATACCATTGGTCAGCTTACATATGTCTCAACCAGGAGCAGGGCCGATTTTAGCAATATTGGCGCCCTGGCAAGATTATCGTGGCGCCCCTTCAGAGGCTTAAAATTTTTAAGAAAAGAAGACAAGGTAATAATATGAAACGATGAATCTGTAGCTGGATTGTAAAGATTGTTAAACTACAATATATAGCAGCTTTACTAATTTACACCGTACTGCAACGCCCCCAAAAGTCTGACGCCCCGGGCGGTTGCCCGACTGCGCCCCCCCCCCCCAACGCCGGCCCTGACCAGGAGTGTATCGTAACTTTAAATGAGTTCGATGCATAGTAGGTCCATAAATATATTATAAATATAGTTTTTGTTGTCAAACTTTATATCTCTGCGTATCTCTGTATATTTACTTTCATTAACTTTCTCACCGCAAGATTGTTATTATTTTACGAAAATAACAAGTTTTCTAATTTATATTAGATCTATATCTATATACTGGCACAATTTCTTATTATACCAGTTTTATTGCAATATACGTATAAATTTGTTTATCCAAATTTTGCGATTTGCTGAACGAAGTATACATGTTTGTAGAATTTAATACATTTACGCGTGTTTAATTTTTTAACAAGAATTGAAAGTTACTTGTCACAGCAGTGATACTAAAAGCATAATACTTAGTTTACATTTTTTGTAGGATGTACTGATATATATAGACATACGTTAATTACACACAATTGTTAAAAAAAAAAAGAAATATTAAAACCAAATATAATATATTACTTTACCTTTATGTGATTACATATACATATATATAGATAGCGTTAGAGATCATTATAGAATTTTCCTATCTAGCAATATTTTTTAGTCGAAGTGATTTCAAAGAGCCCTCTATCAATGTAAACCAATGTAAACGATAGAAAATTAAAAATGGCCGATGTTTTGTTTGTGTGCAGTGACAATGTCGTGTTGGTTTGTTTAGTTAATTTTCCTGTATAATTATATGTATCGCTCGTGGATATTTCAGGGAAAAAATGAACGCCACGAGTCTTTACGTATCAACGTGTCGGCTAGTTTTACAAGCAGACGCTGACGATCCAAATTCATGGACAGATTTGTATAGGCTAGTTCCATATTTGCGACAAAGCCTTAGTTGTACTGTGTGTTCAAATTTATTAATCGAACCTCACACACCAACCGAAACTAATTGTCAACATCATGTGTGTCGTGGGTGCAGAGGTGGACGTAAAAAACTTAAACCTTCGTGCGGTTGGTGCAAGGATTATGACAGATACGTCGAAAACGTTCAATTACGAATATTGTTACAGTGTTATAAAAAGCTGTGTGAATACTTGACAAACACAAACATCTATCGGAGTTTAATACTTTCAGTGTCTTCCAATAAAACAAGTAATAGTGCATCGACTATTGGTGTCACGAGCCTCATGGAACTTATACAGGAAGGTTCTGGATTTAAAGACGAATTTAAAAGTACTGCTGGTTTGTCAAAATCTGCATACAGTATTTTACCATGTATTTATACGAGTACAACCTCCACTCAGACGCAAGGGAACGCTATGCAAAATTCTGAAACGATATCGCAAAGTATATCGGGTATGATACATTAATCTTTTATATAGAGGATATTTATATTATAATTTTAAACATGTAAAGTACGACATTTAAATAAGACATTTTTTCTTAAAAGAATTTATAATCGTTAAGAAATCTAATCTTTCTTAAGATCTTTCTTTTTGTTATTATTTTTGAATAGGTTTGTATATCCTATTTTATACACTTTAATGTAATACCAGTTCAATAATATATGAATTCAAGATATTTTCATAAGGCTTTATATTTCTTATCAAAATATACTGTTACGCTTATTGAAACAAAAAAAATTTGGTATTTATGATATTTTTAGTTATCTTAAAGAGAACAGTGTAGTACAATAGTTCATGTGAGTCTAATTGTATTAACAAAGTATATGTGTAAAGTAACGTTCTACATTTATTTTTGTGAAATTCTGTATATTTATAGATCAGGCACAAATAAGAATATGAATATACATAATCTTTTTAACTGTGGTAACTAAAGTTTAAGGGTTAGTGAAGTTATGCTCCAAATTTTTACATTTCATATTATTTTAAAAACCATTGGAAATACAATGAATTTTCGAAGAGAAATGTTTTCCTCAGTTATGAAAGTAATACCATTGTGCATGCATGCATCAATTTATATAATAAATACAGTATATTATAACATACACACATTACAAACATTATTAACATATTTTCTAAAATGTTTGTATACAAACACTCCTTGTATACATGTTTGGTGTATAAACAAAAACGTGAGACCCTTTTTCAAAATCAATTCCTCGTACCACGATAAATCGAAAAGTCTTTCATCATTTTCCAATTAGTCCGTCTTTATCGAGACGCAAGCGTTTAAAGTTTACAGGCTTCGATGCCAGATCTTGCTCCCACTCGCGCATGCGCGTCGAAAAATGCTGAACGTGCAGTACTGTAGTCAGGGCCGGCGTGAGTTTTTGCGGGGCTCGGTTCAAAAATTTTGCGGGGCCTGAATTCACATTCAAATCCTACACTTAAATTTTACAACGAGGGATTACTTATATACAAATGCTGTTATATATTATATATTTTGTATAAGATGGATATTAAATAATAATTCTTTGACGATTTTTGTCACTCCTTTCAATTTAGCCAGTGGTACTAAAAAAATGTCTTGCATTTGTTAATGGTATCATCATTTTGTAAAAAGTTACTCAAAATCGGTACCTTTTACCGCGGAGCCTTTTAAAACGCTGGGCCGGGTTTCGGCGAACGCGCTGAACCTGCCTTGCGCCGGCCCTGACTGTAATTATAGTCAACGATGCGTGGTCCCAATTCATTGTACTTGTATTTTTCTTTGGGGCAACAAAGGCGTCAGTTTTATGGTCGTATTAGATACTTTACTGACGTTAAAACCAGTGCGCATGCGTAACTGGGAGCAGAATCTGGCATCACGGTTTACAGGTGCGATTTTCGGCGCGGTATTTAAATCACAGTCAACCGAGCGCGCATACGCACATACGCGACATACACTACGGTGCATAACTATAGCACCGCTACAATTTTTGTGCGTTTTGTAGATTTAATTAATAATTTCTAATTTTTAATAGTATCATGTGAAGGAGGCTAAAAATATGTTATAGCAATAATAAAACGGCGAACATAACATTTATTTAAGACAACTAATAATAATAC